GAACCTATTTTCTTCCAACACCGTTAATTTTCGTCCTTACTAATCCGTACTTTAATACCCCGATTAAAACATTTGGCTTTAAACAAACATTAATCTATTTTATTTTCGGATATGTGTATAAAAAGTTTAAGTTAAGAATTTAGATAAATTTATTTTTTAGGAAAAAATGTGCCATGATAAGCGACATACCATTTTAAAATTAGAAAGACTGAATAATCCAGTTTGGTTCTTCTCAGATTGTTTGTGTTTAGATCAGTTAGACTTCTGATGTCATAAAACATAATCATAATTTTTTTAATAAAAACATGTAGACATCTATCATCGGATTTCTATGAAACTCAAATTGGTTAACGGAAATATTTGAATAAAAGGAGCAATGGTTCTTCAATTAAACATATACATTTGTTTTTTATGTAATTGAGATTCCTTTTCTCTATGAATAATAACAATAGATATGCAGAAATACTTTTGTTTTTTAAATGAAACTGGGGAACTTTATATGCCAAAGAGTATTTTTTGCCCCAAACTACCTGAGGGTATGGGATACCTACCTAAAGAAAGGACCACTCTGGCCTCTTCCGTCAAGTTTCTATAGGGCAACACACGAATGATTTTATGGTTCCGTACATTTCTATAGGTCTAACACAGGAATAATTAAATAAGCACTTAAATTTGATCAAATTACGAAAAATATAGAAATGCTCAAGACTTTCTTAACTTATTTTTTGAATTACGGAGAACAGAAAATAAGAAGGGCCAAAGTCGTCTTTCTTGTGTTAATAAGTATTATCGTAATGCAAAACCAAATGATCTCTATAAGGGAAGCCGGCAACCCCAAAAGCTAAATTAATTTTTAATTTTTTTTTTTTTACTTGAAAAACTAATTTAACCTCTACAAAATATTTTTAATGAATTTTTTATTTTTTGTCATGAATATGTTTATTTTATTATTGATTAATGTCAAAGAAAAATGTAAAGTAAAAATATTCACATAAAAATAAATATTGAACAATTTATTCTCATAAAAAAAGGAAAGAAAAAAGTTTTACTTATTTAATTTTAAATACAATTTTTTATAAATTGTTATACGATTTTTTTCCTCTTTTGGGGAATCACAATTATCTCAGTTATTGTAGAAAAAATGACGAGAATTTACAAAATTGAATCCATAGAACTTTCTTTTACTGGCGATGCATTAGAATTTGTATCTTAGAGTTCATTCCTGTAAATCTTGCTTTTCTGTCAGGCTTCATCAATACCTCAAACTATTCACCCGATTCCATTCTGCTTTTTTAAAGAACTAACTTTTTAAAAATTTTGTGTTGAAATTTTTCTTCGAATATTTTATAACCTTCAAAAATTTATTCCATTTTTTTTATTATTATTATTTTTTTTTCATGAAAAATGCAAAATTCGAAAGTTTGTAATAATTTAATAACGTCAGAAAAATCTATTTTACATTAGTAAATTTAATTGTTTAAAATCCTCTGAAAATGAAATGGAAATCGGGGGAATACTTACTGAGATAGCAAAAGGTTTAAAAAAAAAAAAAAAAAAAAAAAAAAANTTTTTAAAAAAAAAAAAAAAAAAAAGCATGATTTCTTTTAAACAACTAACTGAATTGGCATATGCTACGGAATTTAAAATTTTCCTTTATTTTGTATATTTCACGATTCTATATTGGTTGTAGCTTCTCGAAAAATCTAAGCTTAAAAAATAATTTTAAGAAAAATTTTACATACAATTAAAAAAAACTCGCCTATTCGTCTAATTTTTTTTATCGAATCATTATCCAAATCATCAAGAAAAAATTCGATTTATTCGAAAATTCGAAATATAGAGATTAAAATTCAATTTCTGGTAAATTTTAAAGCGTTGCCTTTCCTTATTAAAACAAAAGCTATAAATTAACTCATTTTGTTCCGTAACATCTCTACAAAGCTGAGAGTATGAGAAAAATTCGATTTACCTAGTACATTTTTTAAATTTAAGAGATCCATTTATCAGAATTTTATGTTAAAACAGAAGGCAACCAACCGGATTATTTTTCTGGAAGACTCTGAGTAAATCCTGAGGTAGTTATAAAAAAAAAAGAAAATTATGCAATGGTGAGCCCACTAACTACTAAACTTGGTCAATTAGCCCAGGAAACTTTCTAATTAAAATGTCCTAACTAATAGAAAAATCTGAAGGTTTTTCTTCAGTTTTTGTGTTTTTTTTTTTTTTTAAAATTTTGTATTTGATTTTGTTTTTGTTTTCCTTTTTTGTTCTTTTTTTTATTGTTATTTACTAATTTGAAAAAAGAAAAATTCTATTTGTCTTGTTTTTCAACCTTAGCAATTAACCGATAAATGCACCACTAGGGGCATACACGCTGGATTAAATTTTGGTGTGCGTGTACATTTTTTTTATTAATATTGTCTTAAAATTTTTCTCAACTGATTTTTATAAAAAATATTAATCAATAATTAATATTTGGCATTCTTTTATTTTCTTGGTTGTCCTGAAAACTAGTTAACTTTTAATGAAACCTTGCATATAACCTTGCTTTATTAAAAACTAAGTTTGCAAGTTAGTTGTCCGTCATCAAATATTATTTCATCAAATTGTCAAATCTTAATTGGTTAAACTAAAAAAATTATCTTGAACTTCTTGAATAATAATTAAATAATTAAATAAACAATTATTTTTTCTATATATAATGTAGTAATGTAAATTCTGAGTTTTTCACATTAAGAGCAATTCTGTCGCATTACAACTTATTTTTAATATGCTAAATTAAATAATTATCCTTTCACACACCACATTCTAATTTTTTAATAATCGCTAGTTAAAATATGCTTCTAATGCTTTCAGGAAATTTCAACTGAAAAGTAAATATCTCAATTTTGTTGCATATTATTAGTAATGAATGATTTAAATACATGCGAAAACAATTCTCATTCCATCACATTAAATGTTTCATAAATAACTCTCATTTCTTAACTTCTTAGCAACATAAAAGTCACGTTTGTCTTGCTAGCTAACAGATGCCTTTCTCTGAAAGACATCTTTAAAATCTTTAGAAAAACGAAACAAAAGCGATAACATCAGACATTCTCAGACCGGAAAATGAAAACTTGGAAATGAAACTTCAACTTAATTACAGTTTAATTTTTTTTTAAATATCCACTTGTAAAACAAGAAAAATAACTAAATAAATTATTTTTTAATAAGTATTACGATACAAATTAAAGTGTTTGCAGCTGGTAAAACAGTAAAAAAAATTAAATAAAATAAATTGCTTAGGGTGCAGACATAACATACTTTAATTTAACTTACAAAAACAATAATTTTTTTAAATTAGCAAAGAAATTAATAATAATCCAGCTCTTGAAAAATTTAAATTTCAAACATGCGTTAAACAATTTTCGTTAAGAATCTTTTGAAGTCCGAAGAGATTTGAAGGAAAGGCACTTAAAGCTGACATGTTTGAATGCCTTGCCAAATACACCGTAGCTCTCGTTTTTCCGACCAACTCAAACTTAGTTCATTTCTTCCGGGTGATGTATTGGGATTCTGCCAATAATTTTTACAGTCCTTATATTAGGTACATATTAAAAAGTCTCAGTATTTTTTTAAAAAACATTTTTGAAGATAAGGCCTCCTTAAGGAAGTCGCTTGATTCCCACCGAATTCAACTGTCGAAGGGATGGAGATGGAGGGGGGGATTTCTAAAGATGCTTCTAATCATTTTATTTAATTTTCACTACTAAATCGATGTTAGATATTTACTCCACTCGGCAGTATCCTCCAAAACGTGTAGGCCGACTCATAATCATTATTTGATAAATACAGCTCTGATATTTTTGATTTTTCTAGTGATATTTTTTTTTTTTTGCAAGTTATAGCAATACAGTTCTTTAATCTCCAGTTTTTGAACTACACACTTTAATCTGTTTTTATATTTTTAATTAATATCATTGTTTTTATGCTATTTTACGTTATGATGATTTTCATCATCGTCCTAATCGGTTTTGCTTCGTTTGAAAAATAATAGAAGTAGATTTTTAAAGTTCTAAACACTGACGAATATACGGTATTATATTACCTATCCAAAATTACTATCCTCTTAATATAATTGATTTACTTTTTTTAAAGAAAAATTCATAGATGTTCTAAAAGTTATCAAATACTACACCTTTTTGGAATTTTTGTTTTTGAATATATTTATTATCAAAAATTAGTTGAAAAAAAATATCATCAAAAAAACATCAAATATTTAATTTCAAATCCAAGATGGCGAGAAACGAAGTTTTTAAATCTACTCTAAAACCAAATTCCTGCAATTCTTTTAGTCGCATAGAAATCTTTTTTAGTTATCTTTGTATTGTGAAGAATTTTTAAACTTATAATTCTTTTTAGTCAATATTTGGTACAGTTAGTAAGTTCGAAACTTGATACAATTAGTAAGATTAGTAAGGAAATTTAAACATTTCCTTAAGTTACAAACTCACACAGTGTAACATTTTGCTATGGCTAAATTTAGAGTTTATTAAATGTTTTAATTAAAGTAAACCGCTAAAATCGAATAGGAATCGTATATCGGATGTGATCATTCTATTTTTCATGCCCGTAATGTCGTAATTTTTTTTATCGTGACCTTATTTAGAATAGAATGTGGCTCTTCAATCAAGTGACACAAACCCTTCTTAGTTCTACCTGTAGGTGAAAAACTTCAATGGTTAGCCCAACGACAATTAGACTCAAACTCGTGATCCATCTCCTCTAAATAATTCTACTTTTGAGGTTGATGTAGGCCGAGTCTTGAGCTGAATACAAATTAATCAACCATCGAATCTGCGTTCCTCTTATTTTCCTATATCAAAGCATACCAATGTATTACGCAGTATTCATCGCCTTTTAAGTTTGCATTTTCTCGAAAAAAATAGCAATGACTTAATCCTTATTATTGATTTTTACTACTGCTGGTGTCTTTAGGATTGCTTCTTTTATTTTAGGTGGAATCTACAAGTATTTTTCAACTGGATATTTTATCTTACAATAACCCAGAAGGACGAGACATTTTTGGAGGCTGTTGCAGTGGTCGGCGAAGGGCTGACGAGTCCTGCCAAGGAAACTGCTCTGTCTATCTCAGGTTCTGCATTAAACATTACGAAGTGAACGTCGATTTGAAAGGAGAGTGTACTTTCATTGAATACCTTACTCCTCTTCTATCATCTTCTTCACACGCTATGGATTCTCAAGATCAGTCAAAGTTATCCTTCGATCTCAACTTCACATGGCTGGTAATAATCTTTTTCTTTTAGAATATTTTCCTTTCAAGGAAACTATTACTGTTCTTGCATCAGAAAGGTCCTGGGTTCGAATCCCGGGCAAGGCATGGATGTTTCTTTCTCTCTTTGTGTGTTCTATGTCCTTTCTCATTTTTGTGTGAATGTAACCCGCCCTATAAACGGGTTGTGGTTGCGTGAATGGCGTGGCAGAAGTCGAATTCCTGACCATAGATGGCGCCACTGAAAAACAGGAACAATCGCTCCCTCACTGCCTAAACAGGCATACGACAAAAAAAAGAGACTATTTTTAAGTTAGTTGAATTAAATTATTTTGTATTAATCTGTTCATTTTCATCTGTTCAATTTTTTGTATTAATCTGTTTAATTTGTGTAATTAAAAGAAAGATTATCTGTTTAACACTTACCTGATATTGCTCTTATTCTATTTTTGCCTCAATAAATTATAAAAACTAAAATTCCATTTCTGTCATACTAAGTAAAAGCTTTCCATTTCATTGAGAAAAAAAAATATTGTAAACAAGACTTACTGGTAATTTCATGTTTAATGTATAAAACATAATGATATGTATTTTATTTTCCTTTTATTTTTAGGGAGAATTTTCTCTAATAGTAGAAGCATGGCAGCCTTCTCAAGGAAAAGGTAAAAATTGCTCCTACTTGATTATTTTCATTTAATTTGTATTTTATCGCTGAAAATGTTAAATAGAAGTTACCAAATGAGTAATATGAGAATTATGATCATCGAGTGTTTGAAAAAATACTTAAAAAATGGCTTCATGATATTGAAAAAAAACTGAAGCAAAAGGAGTCCAGAAAAAAGTTAGTAATAGGAAAAAAGTAATATTTTAAATTGAAAATTTTCGTCTGTCTTGGGCGTGGTGATTTGAGAAAATACAAAGTTATCATTAGCATATTCATAAATTTTTACCAAGAAATTATTTTTTATTTTTATATAAATTTATTTAATAACAGTGCATAGCAAAACTTATTTTAGCTATCAATAAGCACAATTTATTTATTTATTTTTTAACTTTACACATCTATTATTAACAAATTGTTTGTTCACAAAGGTACTGTTTTTATTTTGCTGTTTGTTGTATACTTTTATATTCGATATTGTTTTTTTAAAATACTCCAGTTTTATTGCATGCAGGTTTCTGGTATTTACGTAGATAAATAAGTATGAATCATATCCGTTGAGGATATTCATTTAGTTTGATATATGGGGAAAATGAAAATTTATGATAACATGCATTTTTCTCTTAATGATTTTTATTTTTCATCAGTTAATCAAAACACTTATGAAAATGTTTTAGGAAGAAAAAATAACGCTATTTTGAACACTACTGCAACAAAGCCGCTCAAAATTCAATTGTTGTCATTCCTTTAACATATTTTTTTTTTTTCTGCAACAAACATAATCCGGTCTAGTTTTAGGAAGTTACGCTTCCTCCGATCATCAAATACTAAACCATAAGAAAAGAAAGCATACTTGTTTCAAATTTTCTATACTTACCGCTTTCACCCTATCCCCAGTTACAGCAGAATATCTGTATATTCTATAAAATAAAAAAAAATGCTAGAGAAATAAAAAAAATGTACGAAAAGAGGAAACTCCTTCAGAACGGGAACGCGAAGAAAAGTGCTTCAATAAATATATAATATAAAAATCTGCGTCTTTGGGTGACGCGAGCGTGGGAACTTACGGTGACTTTGACCACCTGGTACCTCAAGGCCGACTCGGCCCCTCCCCACTGGAGCGGACCGTGGGAAACTTCTTAAGAGAGCAGAGATCCCCCTTACGTTTTCCCTCTTCTTTCTCTATGCCTTCTTGATATTTTCATTTCTTACTTCTGATTTCTTTTTAAGGTTTTTGAGATGAGCTTCTCTAGTACCGGTTGTTTACACGGAGGCGGCTACCCTCTTACTCATTTAAGGACGTTAACCTGCTAATTCTCAATGAATATATCTTTGTTTAGCTTCCGTCTGTCTCTATACCTGATGATATTTAATCGTGTGACAGTGATTTCAAAATGTGTGAGAAACTATTTCACCTGACCGATACCTGCTTTGAATAAACTGAAGGGATTGTAAATTAGCTCTTATGATGCAATTCATTTAAACGATAATATCGTTCCTATTAATCGGACATTTCTTAAGCGAAATTTTGTAACTGAGTTATATTTAATGATTTCGCTATTCAGTAAGATTTTTGTTAAGTATTCATTAGGAAAAGTATAAAAAAAAATGATTATTTAATGCTGAAATTAGTCTCGTATGAAGCAAAGAATTTAAACTTACACACTTAATTTAGTTTTAAGTAATATCTGTGGATTTTCCAGTTGATAAGGAATTCACATATATTTCCTTTTAAGATTTAATGTTTTTAAATTCATTAAATAATATTGATATGTTATATCATCAGAAATATTGATGTGTAATATCATCATGCTTAAATTAAAATATTTAAAAATACTGTACTACTAACTAGATCAGTGATTTATGAAAATTTGCGTTTATCTATATAGACATAATGATTGTTAAAAACAAAATTAAAACTAAATGATTCCAAAATTAGAAAATTTCTAAATATTTTATGATTGTTTTACTGATTTTTCAAAGTCCATAAATATTTTGCATACACATTCTCTATGGTTAATAATGTATTAAAAGTTACTTTTATTTAATTTAAAATATATTTATTTATATCAAATACTTTTTTAACCAAAACTTGCCTTGGCATACATTATTGTTTTAAGCAATGAGGGAAAAGAATTCTGTAAATAATTTAGATTTAATAGCTATGATGTACTAAAGTACTTCTTGAATTTTTAATTTATAAGTTAATGTACAGCAATATATTAGAATTTCTTTAGCATGGAAGATAACAAAATATAATGTTTTAAGTATGGGTATAAAAAAAATGCAGTTAGTTTTATTTTCAAATTTATAAAGTAAATAACAATATAAAACATTATTGGTATAGATAATCAACAGAAAAAGCATTAATAAAGGACAAAAAGTTTTTTGTTGTATATTTATGAAAACAGATATTTAAAGTGTAAACTACAATTTTGAAAAAAGTTTGTTCAATAATAATCTTAAATATGAAAATACAACTTTGTATTTTGTGGAAGATGTCTGAAATCAATTTTATTTTAATTCATAAACTCTAATCTGAAAGTTAATTTTGACAAGTTTCTTGTTGAAAAATTGTAATCCAGAATTTGCATGCTCATTATCATTAAACAATGTTACCGTGAGGTAGACAATATTAAGGAAAGACTTCTTACTTAATAGACTCTCATCTTTTTTGCATTTTCTGATACCTATAATAAATAATGATTTTGAAAAATTCAAACTTTTTGAATGGTTACAGCAAATACCTGAGTTATGCAATATGATAGCATGTCTTATAAACTTGAGTCATTTTTTGAACCAAATAAGTATGATGTTAGGTGTTTGCTGCATTTTACATTGCTACAAAATCCTCCAAAAGTTTAAATCATTGGAAATTGTTGCAATTTATTATTTGACGTACCGTAGGGTACCAGATAATACAAAAAAGAAAGAAATTTAATTTTTGAAAAAAATGAATTTGAAAAATTAATTTAAATGTTCTAAAAGCATGTTAAAATTAATAATTTATTTCTGAGCATTTTAAAGTATAGTCCATGACGGAACCGATCACATATAAAGCTGTAATTACGTAATTCGTATTGAATTTGAGCATGAAACACAATAGTTTTCAATACCTCCATTTCCTATTGTCTACTTCTCCAGCTATATTCGCTTTAAAGGAAGGCAATTTTAATGTTTCAAGTTTGGGTAGAAAAAGACACACTTCATCCATTCTTTGAAATCACAACCAGTAAAAATTATAAACTAATTGCATTGTCTCTCAATTCTTGGAAAAAAAGAAAACAACGCAGTCTTATTGTCCCAGGAAAGGTTATGAACTGATTAAATTGGGAGTGTCCATTGTTCTTTAAAAAGACTTTTCAATAAGATGAACCCTAATAACCACGGGAGCGATGCCAGACCTTTACGCTTGTGACATTGCATCTAGATGTGTTTAGCTGAAACTATGATAAATACATCCTGTAATATTTTTTATATACTCAGTGGACACTGAGAAAGACATAGTTTCACGGAAGCTGTAATTCTAAGTTATCTGCTGGTCATTACCGAACGCCGCAAACTAGTTTTCAAATTTCTGAATCCTCTCTATTGTCTTACGGGTGGACCCATTGTTCTTTAATTTTTTGACCATGCTCCGAGCTTCGACCCCTTCTTTCTTAAGGTGCTGATCTTCCAGTCCCTGCTTCTTTTGTTTTATTTCTTCTTCTTTTTTTCACCTTTCCGGGCATTTTAACGCTCCTTTTGTTTCTCTCGATTTAGAAGAAAGAATATGATGAAAATAATCTCAAGTGCGTGTAGTAATTTTAGTCATTTCTTTATTTCGAATATCTGATAAAGTTTTGAATAGTTATTTTATTCTTTGGAAAATTTAAATCTGGCCGGAATTAAGATGTCGTAGATTGTATGATGTTTGGAATGACACAGCTTGCTCACTTACGCGAGTACTCACGTTAATTAAAAAAATTGTTCCTTGTGTTTATTTATGGAATGTTCCACTGAAAAAAAAAGCATCAGAAAAAAGAGTCTTTTTGAAAAATAAAACGCAAAGTTCTGGTATGATGTTTTTTTTTTTTTTTAATTGCAAGAATTTAAATGTAAATTCGATTCGGGATTTTAAGCCTACATTAAGTGTTATTTAATACTTATTCGAGATAATATTCTAATAAGTTTTTTTTAATGATTTAGGATTTATTTAAAGTTTTTTAAAAAAGAACTTTTCATATTATATATTTTTTAATTTGTTAATTTTTGATAGTAATATTGTATAAAATATTTTAGTTAATAATTGTTCACAGAGCATTATTTGTATCCAAAATATTATAGTGGGATCTTGAAATAGTTAAAATTAGCATAAAATGTAAAGAATTTTTTTTCTCCTAAATATGAAATTTATTCTTATATATTAGTTGACTTCTGAAAAATACCTAATTACGTTCGAATAAATATTAAATTATTTTTAATTGGATCGCATGGTTCTGAGTCTAATTGATTCTTAAATTTAACTTTTAAAGCGAACTCTAGTAGTTAATTGCTATTTCATTGTGCATTGCAATCTTAAATAGATTCCTTTTTCTGTTGCTTACTTTCTTTTTTCAAATTTTTTTAAACCGAATTTTACTTTTTGGATTTTTTTTTTCTATCCTTCTACTTTTAAGAATTTCGCTGCTAAATTTCTTCATTATTTTCAATCACATTTTAAATCCTAATAATCATATTATTTAACAGTTTTGTAAATTTTTTTTTGTTCTAACCCACTCATAATTGTTCTTCTTTAGTTATTCCCTATGTTGGGAAAGTTTGAAAAATATACCTAGAATAAACATGAATGTTTTTGTACAATGTTGAGAAAACTTAAAAGGATGCTATATTTTGGAGAAAAAAAATTTATGGCAAATTCTGCTTCACCTCCATTGGTAATTTCAAATTTAGATAAACGTGAGTTTAGGTAAACCTAGAATAAACCATGAAGTTTCAAATACTGAAAAAAGTGTTTTTAGAATATCAAAATGTAAACAAATTATGACAGAATAACTTCCTCACTGCGTAATTCTAAGTTATCTAGTCATTATTTGTTTGCATGCAGGTTGATATTTGAGAAAAATAATTTCACCATTTGAAACTTCATTATTATACTCTAGGTTTACCTGAGCTTTCTTTACTCTAAACTTAAAATTTTAAATTACTTGTGATGGTGAAAGAAAATTTCCATTGAAGGTTGTCTCTCGTTGTATAGCGTCTTCTTAAAAGAAATTGTACAACTTTGTTTTATACTTAATTATTTTTCAGTTTTAGTTGGGGGTTTTATAATCCTAGTTATATATTGATATGATTTGAGAAGACTGTGAGAAGATTTTAGAGAACTGCGAGAAATAACTGTAAAAAAATTAATGAAATCATTAATTACCCTAAGTACTAGTTACAAATGGATAATACTGCATCCAGAAATCTAAAATGAAAAACAAAAAGTCAAAGTTCAATTTTTGTTTAAATTTTAAAATAAAATAAGAGTAATTGATTTAGGTAAATATGTAATTTTTATTAAAAAAAATGACTTTTTTTCAAGAAATTGAGTATTTTTACCATTCTGAAAAATTACTTTTAATGACAAACTTAATTGCGAAAATTTTGCATTAAATATTGATATTAGTAAGAATTAAATCGTTCAAAATACCCTTTTCTTGATCATATATGACTTTTTTCTTAGTAATTTTTAAAAATATCACGCACCTAATCTTATTGTGTAAATGTTTGAATTTCGGAAGGAAAAAAAACATATGTATCTCCATTTTTGATCAAAAAGAAACAAAAGAGAAACTTTTAGGGTTATAAGTCCTCACCCCCCGGGTTCATCTATGCTCCTGGAGGTCTAAAATTGATGATTCTAACAAAGGAGTGGGACTCATCAAAAATTGCCTATTCTCTAAGATCTGTGAACCGAAACGGGATTGTTAAGTGTGATAACATTTCTTTGAAGCTTCATGCCGTAGCATTTGGTGACGTGACAGGGTCGTCACTTTTATTTTTCTAACCGTGACGTTAATCTTGTAATATTTCAGTCACGTCTCTTACAGCAATAATATCTTTGTTGATATTTCTCTGGCGCCATCCTAAAGTAATCCTCTTTTCATTTATTAATTTCAAACTTGTAATCTTATTTAGCATTTTATTATTACATTTGAGACAATTATATCCTGTTCGGAATTCTTATTTGTGTAATACATTTGTAAGTGATATGTGTTTTAAATAGGTGTAATCAGAAGATAAAGAGTTAGTTTAGTAAAAATATCGCCACTAGCGTGTGAAAATGTGGACTAACGGACTTTGCTAAATAATTTTAAAAAATTGTGAAATTTTAAAATTCAAATCGTTTCTAGTGCGAGTGTATATTACATTTTAATTGCTGCCAACAGCATTTATATGTCCTAAATGTGGGCAGGAAGGATACTTAATAACTATGCTTTATTTGAAAAATAAAAATGTCGTGAACTTAAGCAGTGTTAAAAAAATAGTTTCGCTCCTTTATCTGAAGATTGTAATTTAAAAAAAAATAAAAAAATCCTTGATATTAACACATTATTGACCGGCCAGGAGTTAACTCATTTTTTCATGCCCAAACACTGTTAACCAATGACGAGTTAACTCGTCTTAGCACTTAAATAATCTATTTCAATTTATAAAGCCCAGGAAGATTTAGAATATTGTCCAAAGTCTAATTTCATTTCAGTCAGTAGAAATAATACATGAAAATAAAATACTCCAATAAATAAAACTTATTGGAGTTCGAATGTTTTTTTTTTAATTCTTATATTCAAGTGTAAAATAATAGCCGGTGTCATGGCTGAATAAAATTATTGGTCAACAAAGTGTTAAGATAGCTTAAGCTGGAAAATTAACTGTTCAATTTCTCTTAATATTGTAAAAAGCATCTAATGCGTATTTAATGTAATGTATTTTAGTTAACGCCACAAAAAATGACTAATGAAACGTAATACACTGCAACATCTGTGTAATATCTGGCGAAAGTAATACAAATTTCAAATAGATATTCACTTAGATGATACGCAATTTTTGTGAAATTCTTGTTACATAAAATTATTTATAACTTAATCTTTTGTGTCCTTACAGGCAACAATAAGGTGCTGATATCCCGATTCATAGCCCAGCGAGCACTTGAAATCGGGTTAGAATGGACCTCGGATAAGTTGGAATCAGATTACAGCTCTCTGGAGTTGAAATACAGGGTGATATGTGCGGATGGATACTATGGACCGAAGTGCAAAACGCTCTGCCGACCTCGAGACGATAATTTTGGACACTACAAATGTGGAAAAGATGGAACAATGATTTGCATGCAAGGATGGGAAGGTTCCTATTGCAACTCCGGTTAGTTTCTGTCTTTTTTTTAAACTTTATAAAATCTTAAATATTTTTGTCATTGTAATTCGTACATTTTTTTATGTATTAAATTGGGCTGAATCTAGTTACTCGACATTAATAACATTAATTTCTTAAGCAAATTGAAAGCAATCGCATACCTTTCGTCACTTTAATCATTTAATTAGTTATGAAAATACTCGCTGTGAAATCGGACTTTAAATCAGTTTAAAAAGTTTTTAAAAGCTTTATTCTTCACGTATTATAGATTTTAATAATAACTTCGGTGTACTGTCATACTTTTTTTTTACATCTAGCTTTGATTATTGTCTAAGTGACTTTCTTTATTTTCTTTTTAATACAGTCACGAATATAGTTAAAACAATATTAATTTTTCATTACCTTGGGATTTGTTCTAATGTTGCTTAACTAGCGAATATATCGATTTTTTCAGCATTGAAAGCATTTATTTCTTGAATTTGTGTACAGTACAGATAGTATTAATCCCGAAAATACTTTTTCAAGTCTTTTTTTTTTAATTTCTTTTTCAATATTTATCATGCATATTTCATTACTATCAATGAGCCATTTAAACTAGTATTGAATTCAAGAAAATATCGTTCAGGCTCACCCTTTAATCCTTGTCCTTTTGAACCAAACTTAGAAGACTAGGGAACTCCCGAGTCAAGCATTGAAAGAAAATCAACATCTAGGTAACTTGAATGAAATTAACCCACGTGTTCGCTACATGAGGCAGAAAACCACGAAAACTTATTTCCCTCACTTACCCGAAGGCAATGGGACTTGAATTCACGGTCTGACACATTTGTGTCAGCATTGTAATGAGTATGGGTCTGGGGCAATATTCAAATCAAATAACCGAGACGTCAATCAACCTGGGTCAAAAGCGATCTCGCAAATTTAAGCGACCTCAGCCTGTCGGATTTTTTTCCAACAAGATGTAATGTAATGTAATGTGTATGTTAATAGTTCGAACTTAATTTGGACAATCGTATACTTTGCAACATCCTAGTGCAATCGTAGGAATATAGTGGGCGAGTATTGTTGTCTTTATTGGTTTAAAAATTGAAAGATATTTTTATTCCTGATCAAACGCGCTTTCATTATAAAAGAACGTCAGATATCTTTACTGTCAATGAAATTAACACTCACCGAATGAAAAGTTCCTGAAATTGGCAACCCTAATTGTTCGCGTGCCGCGTGTATCCGGTGTAAAAGTTGCGTGTGTCTTAGAGATTGTTATCAGGGTCCCCCTATCTTTCTAGCTTTTCACGGTCATAACTCAGAAAGGAATCAGGCTCCACTGAAAAGATGAAGAGGGTGGGGTCCAGTGGCTATTTTCTTAAAGCTCCCTCATTTTTTTTTCTCTCTCTCTCCCTTTCGTTCATTGTATACAATCCATGATGTTCATTGTTCTTCAATTGGTTGACAATGAATGGAAACAACGTTTTTTTGTTGAGATAGCGGAGCTGAGTTATCCTCTCTATTAAAGATGATGCGGCCATTTCTATTGAATGTCGTGAGAGACGTTCATTCATAACATTCAGCTTCAGAGTAGTGTGAGCAGTTTATAGTCCATTGGTTTTGGTCAGACTAGGGAAGAAAACTAAACACTATATTTAAGTCAAGCGTGACAAGATTTTGCTTAAACGGATAAGAGAAACAAATTTTCTTAATTATTTTTAAAAAATAGCCTTTAAAATTATGAGAATATTTTTCGAATATCTGTATAGCCAGCATACAAAAATACAACAAATAAAATGCACGCAAAAACGTACTTTCTTTGAATAAACATATTTTTTTCTCCACAGATACGGGTGGGTTTCTCATTTATGAATGATGGCCACAATCTCATAAATATGGACTCAACTTAGTCAGGAACTTAGCCTTTTTTGGCTGTTTTTGCCTTTTGTACATTGCAAACTATACCTGTAAATAACCACTCGTCACGTGGCGTGTCAAAAAAAGAAAAAAAAGTGGTGACTTAAATTAAATAAATAACCGGTAATTCTGCAGAGAGACTCTAAAAAACGGAACTTTCATTAAAATGTCCAATGTCACCATTCAAAATTTTAATTCTTGAATCCTACAATTTGTGATGAAGAGATTCATGTAAAATGAGAGTTCTTTAATAATTCATATATTTCAAAGCCGTCATCTATACATTAAATGTATTTCACCTCCCTAAATAATTTTAAAGTCAATATATTAAACCAAATTTCATCACATATTTATGTTACTTTTATCGTTGAATTAACTTTTTACGCAGTAGATTTTTCTAATATGATTTTTTTAATATATAATTTTATCCGAGCAAAAAAGTTACTACTAAGGAAAAAGTCGCTACTGAGTTATTAGTCTACCGGCCACTTGCTACTAACTGAAAATTTAAATTTTTAGGTCTAATTTCAATATTTTTAGCGAAATTATTTGCTCGGATGAAAAGTAAAAGAAAACTTCGATTTCTAAAACTCACTTACTCAAAAATAAATAAAAATAGTCGCTAAAGACCAAGTTATGAAAATTACTTATTTTTAATATACATTCGAATTATTACTGAAAAATTGAATTGTAATGGATAAAAAAATTTTACATCATTTAAATTTTATAAAGAAATTTAAAATTTAACCCTTACTTTAAGCCAGGTTTAGTTAAGCGCTGTTTCGTTATTATTTCCACTTGTTTTAGCTTGCACTTTTAGAAAAATACTTATGTACGTTTTAACTGTCGGAACATTTAAACTAAATAAACTATGTTTTAAAGATTTCAGTTGCTTCCATTGTTCTAATAACCGACATAAAAAATAAAGAAAATAAATTTAATAATCAAAGTAAATCTCTTAAAAACGTTATTTAGAAACACAATTTGCTTCTATTTTTTCTTAAATTTTTCAATGAATCCATATGGTGAACTCTGAAAATTAAAAAAAAAAATGGTATAATTAGTTGCAACTCTAGGTAGGCTGTCAGTCTGAGTAAAACATTCCGTTATCTCATTGAACTATTGTATAAAATAGTTATGAAAGAAAACTGTACAGGATAATGTATTAAAAGATAAATGATTTAATAATAATTCAACAGCGTGAAATGAATGCTTTTAACAGTTGTGAGGAAAAATAATTGTAGTCTTTTCTGTAAAAATTTATTTTATAAATTTTCTTTTTTCCAGCTGTTTGTGCTGCCGGATGCCATAATGGTACATGCCTCAAACCTGGAGAATGCAAGTAAGTTAAAGCTTAAGTTATTAATTAAGTAAGTTATTTTGCTTAAAGTTAATCAAAATGAGTTATACACAAATTTATTTCAATATCAAACTTATAATTTATTTTTCTATGACAGTTCAAACGTAATTAGTTGAAATATTTTAACTTCTATTTGTAGATATGAAGTACAACTTTTGGTCAAAATCACTCAAACACCGTTGCATAAATATTAATTCCATAATTACAATTTTATTAAAGGTAACCATAAGAATATACAATGATACATAAATAGCCCCATTTATCATTAGTAGGCAATTGTACAGTGCAGAAAACAAAAGATATCACCTTAAATAACTTTAGTAGCAATGATTGGATTTGTATAAACTAAGTGCCAACCTTAATGGTTCAAAAGAGTTATTTCAAATATGCTAATTAATTAATCCGAGTTTTATTAATTTCATAACAGAAACTAATACAAATCGTACTTTTCTGAATAAATATGTCTTTTTTTTCAACGGGTTTGCATTTTTGACTATCAAAATATGAGGTATAACCGTTATAATGAAAAATATGATCCCAATAGTTTCGGTGGGGAACTGACGAAAGCTTGGGCTAACACTCAAGGAAAGTTTGAGCCTCTTAATGCCACTTTCTGTGTATTTAGCCACATCTTAAGAAGTCTTATAACGAATCGAAAATTTTTGCTTACAAACTTTTTTGAATATTTTTATTTTATTTCATAAAGGTCGAAAGATATTGATATTCAGGGCATACTAATTTTTACACCATTTTAATCTGTGTAACAGTAAATTACAAAATATTAAAATTTGAACAAAAATCAGTTAAATAGTTTCCGAGTTAAAATTTCAGAAAAGTCACATTTTAAAAATATTATTTCTTAAAGACTATTCGACCAATTTCCTTTTTTATTTTCCAGTTTCGACCTTTATTATAACCTTATCATTCAAACCTATTTGTTCAAAATGTTTTAGATCTTAACTAAATAAAATAATAAAAAATTTAAACAAAAATCATTTTTATTTGGTATTTTCCTTGGATAAACTGAATTTATAATTCTTCGCAAACATTTTTAGACTCAATTAAGTTCCCGAGGAAAAGCAAAACACATAAAAAGTGATATTAACATTAAGAGACCCAAACTTTTAACCCCTCTCCTTATTAAACTTTTGGGACCTTTTTTTCCAGATTACAGCTAACCTCCCCATTTTGATATTTAAAAAATAAAATCCGACCTAAACAACTCGTTTGTAATCAGAGAAGATACTTTTTTTTGTCTCATTCAACAATTCATTTTATAGCTAGTACTAATTAATTAATATATTTTAGTTTTGTCCTTTGAATCTCTATGATAGCCGCTTAGTTCGTGAAAATCTGATCATTATAGAAAAAAGTTATTCAGGGTGATATCTTTAGTTTACGCACGTCTCTTTCTGCTAAATAAAGTAAAAGTTTAATATATAAGGGTATATTATAATTTAAAAAATAGACTATTGTTTTCGTTCTGTAATAAGTAACACTAATGTCAGAAAAAAATCACTGATGGAACTTTTTATACTAGAGCTAAAGCGACAGTTTCTCTCAGTTAACTAATTTCCTTGCTTCCTTAAAAGTTGTTGATATTCTTTATAATATTTTTTATAATGCAGTTTCTGGTATGTATCCCCTACTAATTGTGCAAATAAGCATTTTTATGAATGACAATATAATCATATAATTTGTTTAAATCACCATTTCTTGAAAAATAGTAATTATTTAATTTAGAGTAATGAAACAATTTCAAACAAAACATATCCACATTTTATTTGTTTTTTAAAATTTATATAGCATTTTTTACCTACAAAATTTAAAATAATTAGGTTGAATAGAAGAAAAAATTAGTAGTAATTTTAATTTAACAATAATACAACTTTAAATTACTAATATCATTACTTGATTGAATAATAACATAATAATTGACTGAATAATGATATGAATAATTGACGAAATTCTAAAATTTGATACACAGCTGTTTTTATCTAATTTGAGAATTTCTCCACTTTAATGTTGAATACTAGTTAGAAAATCTAAACAAATATAGCATTTAGGTATTTGAAGTCATTGTAAGGAGGTAAAAGGAGTAATGGTGCTACCACTTTTGAAATTTTTTTCCTTAAAAAAGATAAATCTTATTTATTTCAAAAACTTTAAACTAGCTTTTTAAATTGAAAAAAAAACTAATAATAAATTATAAGGATTAATGATAAACATGTTTTCAAATACATTTTACGCGGTATATCTTAAAACTATATATTTTAAACAGAAATATGATTGTAGTTTCAGTTATTATATAAATTGTTGTATATAAATTACTATACTATAACAAAAAGTAATATAAGATTTCAAAAATAGAATAATGAATTTATTTTTTCCATAAATAGTTGCAGATTTGGATGGGAAGGTCCTTTATGTGATCAGTGTAAGACCTATCCAGGCTGTGTACATGGTGGTTGCAGAAAGCCTTGGACCTGCATCTGTGATGAGGGTTGGGGTGGTGTCTTATGTGATAAAGGTGATTATTATTATATCTGCCTTTGCATTTTTTCATATTGGTATCTTTATTACAAATTCTAGTAAATTGGTATATTTAATACATATTTACTATACTTCCAAGACCCTCATTTATATAATATTTTATAAAACCAAGCATTATTGCTGAATGTCTTTTTCTTCAGGTTATGAAAAAGATATTTCATTTAGATTAACATATTGGAAATTTAATGCGAAATTTATTGTGAACAATGTAAAATATTTTGTGTAACTGTACAAAACAAATAACAGTTTTATTGAATTTTTTCTTAAAAAAACATTAGAAGTTTCAGAATGTAGAAAACTGATGGATTTCAATTATTTAAAATAGGATAAACTCTTTTTAAATATACTTCATTAATTCATAAAATGCTCTTTTCGGATTTTTTTTAAAGCATTATTATAAAAACGGACTTTGTAAGTATTTTAAATCCAAATTTCATTTGTGCTAAGAAATGGCAATTATGCTCTAGTACTTTTTGTCTTGGTTAAATATTTTGCTTATTTTCACATTATTAATTTTTATTCATTTCATAAAAAAACTAGATGCTTATTATAATAACTTTTTTCAGATCTTAATTACTGCACCAATCACAAACCTTGTGAAAATGGCGGCACTTGTACTAACACAGGACAAGGGTCCTACACTTGTACATGTTCAGATGATTACATGGGAGATAATTGTGACAAATTAAAGAATCCTTGCATGGACAGCCCCTGTTTGAACAATGGCATATGCAATGTAAATTGACATTTTATTCATAACATCATTTTTTGTTTTGTTATTCTGTGTGCTACGTTTTTTATTTCGTTATTATTTTATTTGCTTATATTATTACTGTATTTTGTTTGATTACTAAAAATGTCTTTAAATTCTGATCTATATATTAAGATAATAACTTTAATTTTATATTAAATGATATAAAGAGATTTTTCTTAACTTCTAAGAAGTTTTAACTGTAATTATTTGAGAAATCTAACCTGATTTCAGTTTTATTTTACAATATTTTTTTTAAAATTTATTCTCATTTTACTTCGTTAAAACTATTCAACGTATAAATAGTAAAATAGTGGAATCATATCAATAAATGTCAACTATAAATTTTACTATACGTTTTGAGTTTTTGCTTAAAAACTAATTCAAAAATATGAAGTTAATTTTTTTTTAAATTTAAATTGTATGAAAACTTGATCAATCTTAAATTTTTCCAATATTAAGATTCTTACTATTTTCTTTCTATAATTTTTGTGCCTTACTTTAATTTTATACTTTAAGTTAATTTTGTAGTTTATTAGATATATTTATCTTTTATAAATTAATGTATTTTGTGTTTATCATATATAAATCCTATTTATATGCAAAAAAGAGTACTATTTCTACAATATTTATCTGCTTGGCGTTCTTTGCTATTTATAAGTCCAATTTGAAGTAATTTTTACTTTTTTTAAATGATACTTCTTTTACCTTATTTGTTTTAGTAAGAATTAAAACATGAAATAAGCAACAGTAAATGTTTGGCTAACTATTTATATTAAAACTACTTAAAGTTTTCGCAAACATACTTCTTAAAGACAAATTAATTCTCTTTTTTTTAACATTTTAAGTTTTTTTTTATCATGAAGTGATAAAATGTGATTATAAATGAAAGGATAAAATGATGAAAGGACTGTACTACATTCATCCATTCGAACATGAATGAAATGTTACATAATTACTTAAGAAGCACAAGGACCACCAGGTAAAGCCTTTAACTCAAAACTACTTTTCTGTTAATTATAAAAACTAATGCATTAATTTTTAAAAATAAATATATCAATTTTTAAATATTAATACAATCAAATAAAGTGATGAAGATTATTAAATAATTGTAATTATTAAAATATTTTTAGAAATTAAATTCTCAAAAGTAAAATTTTAAGTTTAAATCTTAAATATAGAAGCTTGGTATAAAATTGTATTTGAATATAGAAGATAACTTTAATTACATATATTTTTATTGCTCTAAATACACGATAATTAAGAGCACTTTTTTTTCTTCAGAAAGTATATTAATTTAATCAAATTCTTTGAAAAACTTTTGATCTTTCATCTGAACTTTCATGTGCTATGATGCAACATTGCTATTCCTATACCGGTCGGATAAAGAATAATTTTAAGGACCTAGTTTCTTTAAAACTACTTGACTAATGCATTTTAAATTTTGAAGTTTATCATTATAATTGTTTGTGTTAAAATAGATCTTGATTACATGATGTTTAAGTTATTGTTTTATCATTGGAGAATCTCCAATCGTTATTAAATTAAAAAATGAACAATAATTTTTAAAATTCATTTTAAATCACCTATAATTTTTAAAATTCATTTTCTGTGTAAAATTATCATTTGGTAAAAGAGTTTTAATAACTGTGTGCTGAAACTATTTTTTTCCTTTTTGTTGTTTAGCAATACGTTTCATAAATTGTATTAATTTTAATTTAAATTTTCAAATTTATACACCATATTATCAAACATGAGTATATGGTATACATATTTGCTCATGTGTTTATATGTAGAGAGTTTGTACTGTTTAACCTATAAAATTTTTCTTATATGCGATTTTAAAACTATTATATCCTTTTTCTCCTCACTTGATAACTGTAACATAACATTTTTAAAATAACCATTATCTTAGTTAATGACTATATTTTGATGCTTTGACTTCTGATCTAAGTCCTTTAACAGTTACTTTTCCTAACTTATTGAATTTTCCATGCAATTTGAAAAATCCAAATGCAAGTAAGAGTTCAAATTAGATTGTTCATTATGAAAACTAAACTAAATTTTTTTTAAAATTTAGCAAACATCTTTAAAAGTCATAAAATGATTGAAAATGTTGTTTTTTTATAAATAACATAAAACAAATAATTTTCATTAAAAAAAAAGTTGAAACAACACCAACAAGTTTAAACTTTTGTTCAATCGCTTTGCTAAATTAATTGGCAAGGAATATACATTTTTGTACAGGATTTCATAAAAATCTAAGACCAGGCAATTAATGTATTTATAGTCTTCTTTTTAAAATAATTAGATTTCATTACACGAAATTTCCACAACAAGATCAAAAGTGATCTTTGATGTTTTGTATTTATCTTGTCCTTACATCTAGTCAAAAATAATTAAAGTGGATATTATTTTATTATTTTATTTTTTTAGTAATAAATTTCTAAAATAATATACTTTAAGAACTTGGACATTTTGCTAACAAGACTTCATACTATTATTTTATTTTAAATTATTCATTTAGTATTCTATACCGTAAAAAATGGTAATTAAAATTTTATACATTTTATGAAAGTATTGTTCAAATATTATAAAATTATTACATTTCCATTGTGAAAATCATAGTAAGTGAATATAGATTAAAACTGTAATCTAAATTTCTTTAAAATATTTCTAAAGACAATTCATTCATTTCCATACTTAATGTCATGTTACTTAGTTAGTTAGTCATCAGAATGTTGGACTTTTTTATGTATAAATATTCTTATTATTTTATAAATAAGAGCAATAACTATTTATGAAACATGATAATAAATTTTATTATAAAGCGATATTTAAACCTATTTTTAAAGACCCTGAATAATTTCTTGTGGTGATTTGAAGGAAGCCTATAAAAAAGGAAATAAATTTTTATTCTTTATTTAGTTCTTCATATCTTCACACAACTCTTTTGGTTCTTGAATAACTGTGATTAATTACTACTAAAATAGTTGTATATTTTCAGGATTTTTAAGCTTGTACCATTTATAGATATATTTATTTTCAGATGAATTAACTGAACATAGTTTTACTAAAAGAAGCAAATTTATTGTATTTTGTTCATAAAAGTATCTCAGTTCACTAATGAAATTGCTATTTGCTAAACTAAAATATTTCCAACTGCATTTTTTTAAAGCTTTTATTTGGATTCATTTTTCTAACATTGAAATAAATTCAAAAATAAATGTGCTCACTTAAAATTATCTTTCTCATATCTTTTTTTTTAATTAAAAATTTTTATTTGTTCTTTATAGAGTCCTAGTATTGGTAAATACGATTGCACATGCAAACGTGGATATTTCGGACCACATTGTGAGACATCAGCAAGTATTTGTACAGAAGGTTTATGCAAAAATGGTGGCTCCTGTATTTCAAATCCAGACGGATTTTTATGTTCCTGTCCAGCAGGTTTTACAGGTGCACTCTGTGAAAAAGTCCAAACCTGTGATTCAAGTCACTGCTTAAAAGGTAGGGAAAAGGAATGATGAAAAATATTTTTTTTTATTGTCTTCACAAAGCATCCACTTTTTAAACTTGCTAATAAGATAATAAGATAAGATGCTAATTTTTTTTTAATTTTAGTAATTTCAACTTTTAGAAACATATGCTTATATGCAACTTTGAACCAGTACCATATTTGTTTTTCTGTGATTATAACTTTGCCAATTTCTTAGAATGCATCGTTACATGTATAAAATTGAATTTTCTTTTCCATTTTGAAAATGGCTTTATTTGCTTCACTACTTTGCAAAATGTAATAACCTTGTTAGTATTTATTTTATCTCATTGCTTTTCTGCTTTTTTAATATAATATTATATTAATGTTAACTTGTAGGTGGCACTTGCATGACATCCTCCGATGGAATACATTGTATCTGCCCTCATGGTATCAGCGGTGATCGATGTGAGCATGACAACAGATGTACAAACTTGTGTAAAAATGGAGGAATCTGCGTGGTCATCTCCGGAAATGCATCATGTACTTGCCCTTACGGCTACTCAGGAGCTTTCTGTCATATCAAGCAGACAGTGTGCTCTGCAAATATTTGTGCCAATGGAGGAACTTGCCGCTTCCTTGATGAAGCTTACTACTGTGAATGCAAACCAGGATTTACTGGAAAAAACTGTACTCAGCCTCAGAATACCTGCAGCTCTTCGCCATGCTTGAATGGTGCTACATGTCATGTGACAGAAAATGGCTTTTCATGCCACTGTTTGCATGGCTTCAAGGGAAATAGGTGCCATTTAAGTTTAGATGGAATTCCAAACGATTGGAATGAAGGTCCATCTGTTGCTTCGAATGTCTCCCACCGCATCTCTGAGAAAGAGAAAGAGACTTCTTCTGCTTCTCAGTTATACCTGATTATTGGTTTATCAGCCACCTTCACTGTGCTCATAATTTTAATTGTTTGTATTGTAGTCAGATACAGAATCCGACTTCGACGGCCGCAGAAACCTGTTGACGAGCACCACAAAGACTGTGACTTTGATCTAGTAAATGAGCAGAACGAAAGAAATGCCATGTATATGAACAATAAAAATTGTGATATGCCTCAAAAAATTGTGAATGAATTGGACAGAATACCAGTTATAATGCCACACGAGGCTCCTCCTAAAGTGCTTAATAGTGAAATCAGCAACAAAAGGATTCCAGATATGATGAGCACATCAAGGACTTTACTACAAAAAATAGATAATATTAGTGGTAATTCCACAAAGTGAGTATCAATTCCTTCATATAATCCTATTTAATTTTCCTTTGAATTGATTGGCAATTTTTTTTCATAAGAAGGTGCTAAAAGCAATTTATTAATGCAATCAACTTTTATTGCATTGGCCTGTAGTTTTCACGCTTGTCATACCATTTCTGAAAATCGTGGCATGATTTTTATGTTTTTCCCTCCTAGAGCATTGTCTTGGTCATTTGGTATAGAAATTAGTCATACGCGCGTTATTTGCATTTGAGAAAATACATTCTTAACCTTTATTCCTCTAATATTATAAACTTAAAACTAAATACCTATAAGATCCAAATATTATAATTCGTCTTATATATTTAGTACTTTTTTTCTGACTTGCCTATGTTCCATTGCTATGTTCTATAAATGTGGCGACATAACTTTATACTCAACTTCATTTTTTTATTGTAATGCGCACATAAACACAATACGTTTCTGCAAAAATAGTACTAACTAGTATAACTATGAAACTATACTGAAAACTATATACTTCCACTCAAACACTGGTATGTGATATTTAGAGGTAACCAATCTAACTAAAACGGATTTCCCTTACTGCCTTTATACAAAATATCCCACTTATTTTTCAGTCTCATCTACGATTTCGCCATGATATGTGTTCAGAGAATAAATAATGAGATCCCATGATGAAGAATGATTGCAAGTACCAATCATTCTAATATGTTTACCAAATGTGTAGCTTAAAAAAAATTGCAGTATTTTTCAAGTGAACAAAATTAATACAATCTTGTAATTGCTTGATGGAAACTTGTGTATATATAATAATTTTAACTATATATTAACGTTTTCTACTTTACATAAATATGAATCATTCAGAAAAAAACTTTTAGCATAATTGCTTTACTATTTATTTAATTTTTTTTTCAATCGATTCAATATGTTCGTAAAATTGAGTAATTCTTAAATAAAAATTAATTTTTATCAAACGCAGTCTTCATTTTTAAATTTATAATAGTTGTAAATAAAGAACAGGAACACCTTTGGCTGCATTTGCCCATTGTAGTAGATTAATTCAGTTTTTCTAACATCATAAGCCTCACAATATCATACGTCTCACATTATTTTTCAGTAATAAAAGTAAGGAAATCAAATTATCACCTGTCAACCAGAATAAGCTACTTTTTTGTAAGCGTTGATAAATTTTTTAATAATTTTTAAGGAATATTGTACATTATATTCAAAGGCAAGTAATACATTTAACTAAAAAATAATGTACATAAATTAAAGTGCATATTTTATTAGTACATATTTATTTAATTTTAATTGTTTCTACAATAAATTTATTTAAACAACTGAATGTAGTATCTTTTTTTTAAACTAGAAAAAACTATCATTTGTAATATTTATCACAAAAATAATTCTTTGCTGTTTGCCTTAGAGTTTAAAGCAATACGATGTGATTAAGATAAAAATCTAACATAAAAGGATTAATGTTCTGCACAGATGTTGTGAATGCCCAATGATTGTCTTATATCTAATTACTGTTCTTTATTTTAGCTGCCACTCACCTCAGGGTCATTCACCTTGCAGTAACAAACCGATCTATACGATTGAAGATCATCTCAGGCCTTGCCCAGACAAAGGAGTATTCCTGAATATGGGTGAAAACCTAGGTACTGATGTTTAATGATTGGCACATAATTTAATTGTTGTACAGTCTCTCTCAAAGTGCCTTTTGTATCATAGTTTCTATTTGTACAAACCAGAGCTTTCTACAGAGAATCATAGTTTTATGTTTCTATTTATATTGTGTAGTTATATGTTCCACTGTTCAACTGTGCGATTGAACAGATACTTGTTTCAACAAACATGGGGTGCCTGTACTCTTTTTTTTTTCTTTCTTCTTCATTTCAACCAAGTTGTTAAATTTGTTTTATTATAATGACCACTGCATTTTTTTTATAAGTTTAAAAATGGGACCTTTTCTTTAAGTAAAGGATGTCTCAATTTTTCTCCTGAAAATCAAAATTGTATGTAAATGAGTTTGAATATGAAAGTAATACTTAGCTGAATTCCAAATTGAATGAGAAATGTCTTGAACGTTAAAATCGGTTTGATGTAATGTTGTTAGTATTTTGTACCTTTATATTTGACAAAGTTCCTATTCAAAGGAAATCATTTCTAAAAAAATATTTTTAATAAACAAATGAAATTGTTATCATTGTTTAACCAAGGCTCAACAATGTGCCTAAGAATACTCATAAAATGTATTTAAAATGCACTTTGATAAGCTCTCTGTGCTAAGAAGGAAAAAAATAATAATCACGCTTTTCAGGCAATAATTTGGATTTAGCTTTTAATCTTGCTATAGTAATTCATTTCATTATTTATATGTATTCACATTTGGTAATAGTTCATTATTTTATTTCCGTAATTTATGGATTTAAATGTTTAAAAGAAGTCTTTTAGATAGCAATAGTCTCGAGTAGGGATATTTTTCAGATATTGCTTTGGTTTCTTTCCAAATGACAGGAAAGAAAATTAGTTTGTAAATAAAATCTTTAAGATATTTATTATTTTTATGATCGACATTTATCTTTTCGATTGGATGCAAAAAATTGTTTATTCTTGCAAATTATGTGCCATGTTCCATATCGTTTAGAAATCACATTAAGTAAGTTATCTTCTAAAACTATACTGTCACTAATGCACTTGTAATTCACTTAAATGCTCTAAATAGAACTTTTTTATAGACTTCCACGTTAAATAATAAAAATTTTTGCACTTTATAGATGTGTAATCTTAAATGTATTGTAATTATTTAATAGTACTTATATTTTTAATGCAGGAACTTTTTCTAATTAATATTTCGGAACTTACGAATCAGTATTTACATGAATAGGACACTAATAGAAATTGATAGCGGTTTACATTTAGAGTTATGTTTACCACAATTCATGTTTGTTTAGACATCAAACTATGTTTTGTGATTTTTGGTAATTAGTTTAATTTTGCTGAAGCATTCGATATTTTTTAAGGAAGTTTAGTTTCTTGAGATTACATCATAGTGTCGACGAAACTAAGGGCAGTTTTTCCATTTCAAGAGCTATTAGTTCTCTACAATAGTGAAATGTTGAACTAGTAATGTAAATAGAACATGTGTACATTTTAGTTGGATCTCATCTTGTATATAAACGGAGGCTGTTTTTATGTCTGTTTATGCAGCAGCACCTTGTTCCAAATAAATTCATAATTGTCTATTTTTGTATCTTGTGTTACGTTTTATTTGTTTGTTCATTAATTCATCTTGCATATAAACTAACGATTCACTGAAAAAAATGCCTCTTATTCACAATTGTAACTTATCTCCAATGTATACCATTTACACAAATCCTAAATATCTTGATGAAAGTCTTACTAAAATTTGATAAATGCAAAAAAGTGTGCGTAAGGTGTTATATCGTTAAATACATACTTACTTTATAATGTTTTTAAAGATATAATAACTTGATAAAGTTCAGAAAAATACACATTTTACATTTATGAAAAACCCCTTATGTTTTTCTTTACTAAAGAAAAACCTTGTAGCTAAACCTCTTTATTAAAATAGTTACATAATTCAAACTTTGTCATCATAATATTTTTTATTCTATACTAAGCAATTTTTAATTGAAACAATAGTAAAAATATCCTTTATTTGTTGTGCATTTAATTACATTTAGGACGCTTGAGTATCCACTGGAAAAAAATTTAACACTTACCTTTTCACATAAAATTATTTTTAAAATATCAACAAAAAAATCTGCATTTCATTTATAAGTATAAATATAAGTTAAATTCCATAGAAAAGACTTTATTCTTGCTTTATTTGGGTAATAGCTGAATGACATTTCCTTTATTGTGATTTCAGTGATTTATGAAGTGGATTAGACATTCAATCAATTTTCAGCAAATTTATGAAACAACTAACAAAATGTTGGAAAAAACTTCATGATTAGTTTATTAATTTTAAATAGTACATTATTTAGGATAAATATATTAGTGACTGAACACTTCCCAGTAAATGAACAGTTGAATAATATTTTTTTTAAAGAAATAAGATTTTCAAAGTTTTTCCATATTTCTTTTCAACAGTAGATTATAACCTTCCAATAGGAAAACAAGCCAATTAACACTGTATTAAATGTCTTGGGCCACATGGTGTTATCTTGGGAAAAAAATGAATTTTTTGTATCTATGAAGCATTTTGTATCTCTGATAAAATTAAACCTGAAAGTTATGTAGTTCCCTGCTTTAGGTATACAACTGATCGTCTTTAAAAAGATTTATTTCTTACTTATGTGAAAGTGAATTTAAATATGGTTGTTGAAGCTGGTGTTTTTTTTCTTTCATTTTTAAACATTATAACATATGTAAATTCTGAGTTTGGGGGGGGGGGTTATTAACTGGTTAAGCAAGTAGTGGAAAGCCAATGAATGAGCACTATTGATCAGTGTCATTATATATTTATGAGCTTATTATATCTTAAATAGCAATTTTAACTGAAATATAATGTTGCTAATTATTTGCATTTAAAATATGATAGCAATGTAAATGTCTTAATTGTAGAAATACATAACAAGTGTAAATTCAGAAGCAGAATAAATAATAAAGATGTAACAGTCTACAATGACAACTTGACAAACTACTTCAAAGCTAACAATGTATAAGTGCCGTGGTTTAAACTTATTTTGAACAAATGATGTTGATTTCTTTTCAAATTAAGGTATCATCGTAAGTTTTCAAATATAAGAGATTATTTTAATTCCTTTTGTGGTAAGAATAAATTTACGATGTGTTTCAAAAGCAACTTCCCTTATGAACAGAAATCTTCAGAGAAAAAAAGTATGAGAGGTTTAGTATTTATAAATAAACCATGACAAGGTTTTAGAAACCATGAGGTGAAAGTCACAAGGTATCTACTTAGTTTACTATTCGAAAAAGCATACTCTGAAGAAGTTGATATTCGAAAGCAGTTTCAAAATTTTGGGTGCATCTTGAAATGTTAAATTTTCTTTAAAAAATAGAATAAGCACACTGGAAATATAACCCACAAATCAACTGGAAAAAAACTCGATATTGAGGGGAAAAAAATTTTATTTTCAGGATTAAATTAAAACGAAATTGATATTCCCCAACCAGTCTCTGTCAGATCTCCCAGGTCTTTTTGCCATTCTAAAATTTAAATAGATAAAAGATGAAAAAAAAATTTATATTTCCTTCACTTTACTTTTAGATACAGACCTAGAGTAAAGTTTACACTAGGACATAACTTGATCAACTATTTTCATGACCTACTACAAAAGCTTTGAAAATATTCATAACATCTCATTCTCCAAGATAAATTTTGTTTTCAGGCATTTGCATGACTTATAATCATAAAAAAATTATAATATAATCAGAAAATCAGGTATTAATTAACTGGAGAGTTTTATTTTATATACTGGTTGGAGCTGTTCATTTCATTTGGTTATAATTCTTAATATTTGAATTCCCAAAACATTTAAACAATTCTTTATAAATTCCTTCTCAGTTTTGAAATAATTTGCATTTTACAACAAACATGTTGACATTGTAATTTACCAAAAATAACAGATTTTACGAACGTTAATATTTTAAAAACAAGTTGCGCTTAGTTTTTCTTTCACTGGTTGGTCAATTCAAACTGCTAAAAATAATGAGTAGCTAAAAAAATCATAAAAGATGTTACCATTTTGAAAAATTCATTAAACTTCATACTTATACACTTGACCGATTTATACACCTGGCATATAAAGTTCACTTAAGTGTTAATTAATACATTTAATTAAAAAATAGTTTCCAAGTTTAATTTGGGAAGCTGAAAAATATTATCAATTTTAATAGTTAAAAACATATAAACCAAATTGAAAACTATTTCTGTTAAACCTGTGATGCTTTCTAAAATACAACTTATATCATTTCCATCCCTAGTTTTAAGATTCCGATTCACAGGAATTCGATTTTTCCGAAATTTAAAGAGCAACTACAAAATTTTTAGATTTATATTTTTCATACTTTATGATTATATTGCTTTTAAACTAAAAATTTATCAAAAACAACTAAAAGTCAATGTGTTGTCTGCCCTTTTTTCAACAAAAAAATTCACTTAAAAAGAAGTATTAAATATAACTTGAAGGGTCTGCATGTCTTAGTCAACACATAAATAAAATTTATTTTAAATGAAGTATACAGTTATTTATTTAACTCACATTTTATTAGCTTATAAAGAGAATTAGTGCTACATTAAAACAAGAGTTGAAGACTAACTGACGATACAGAACACAAATAAGATTCACTTTTCAATGTGAAAGAATGTTACTTTTCCTGCACTTAAAATTAAAATTTTAGAGTAAATCTGTTTAAACTAAATTTTGACTCTAACATTTTCGAGCACTCAAGAGGTATAAGATATTTCGCTAAAAGGGTAGAAAAATGCTTCGGACATTAATTAAAAAAATAAGTTTAAAACGGTAATTTTTTTATTCTAAAAATAATTAATCAAATTACGATTTTTTAATTTTTCTGTTAATGAAATATTGTTAACTAAAGTAAAAATAGTTTACATAGTATAAAAATTATGACTATTCGTAAAGCACTTGTTTATTAAATGTTCTCATTTTCTCAACCGCAAAGAAGTAAATAATTAATAAAATAAAATTGTGGCTGGAGAAATTTGCATTAAAAATTAAATTAGTTACAAATCTTAAAATTAAATGAAACTTAAAAAAAATTTATAAAAAACATTAATAACCAATATTTTACGATTTTCATAAATTGATATTTAGAAAGAATTTTCTTCCGTTATAGTTTTCATTAAAAATAACATGAGAAATGTGTGATAAGGAGCATGGAGTTTTTGCCTGTAAAACTGTTTCTCTGCATTATTTGCAATATGCTGGTGGGGGAAGGAGAAATGTAAATAAAATTTTGAACGCTCGGTTAAAATTAACGTTCGGTTGTTTCTTAAAAACCTAGAAAAAATTGCTATATTAATAATATTTTTAAAATTTGACTTTCAAAATTTAGTAATCAAATTAAATTTCTAACTTTCCTCGTAAAACGTATTTAAGAGCTGAAATGAGAGAAAATGAAATTCAAGTTATTTATAAGATGAACTTTTTTATTATTTTAGTAAATATCTACAATTAATAAACCACGTTCTTTTTAAAACTTTCATTGAAAAATAGTTTTTTTCTTTTAAAACAGTCTTTAGTAAAAATAACATACGAAAAGAGCAAGCTGGCCACTAACAGACTAATCCTATTTGTAACATTGGTCAATTGTATAAGTAATAAAAATATCATTTGAGAAAAAAAAGCTGCATTGTTATTAGCAAAACAATGAATTTTGGAGAAAAAAAAATGCGTTGCGATCAAATATTTTTAAACATTGTCACTAGATGGTGCTGTTGATTGTAAACTGAATATAAATACTGAATCTTCACAAAAGGAAATCGCAAGTATTCCAATTATAATTTATTACTTCTAAAATAAAAGTGCAAAAAAAAACATTTTTTTTTTAAATTACAAAAAGAATTCATGTTTTAACGATTTACGCTCACTTATTTCATGAAAATTCTGTAGGAAAAAAAATTGTAAACAGAATTATGATTAAACGATTGAAATATCGTTTGAAAATAGAGTTGACGAAAAAGAATTCTAGAACTAAAATTAATACTTATAAACTTCTGAAATTTAAATACAGTAAATGACTATTTTAGAGCAGTAAAAAGAAGAAATAGAAATATGTTTGTGTTCAGGTTAAAATTTTGTTGTTAGTAAATACCACTAATATTCAATATTTTGCGATTTTTTTTACGATGTGCGATATTATTCAATATTTTACCATTTATATAACAAATAATTAGTAATGGTAATTACACATAGTTTACTCATTCCAAAGAAGGAAAAGAGGTAAAAATAAAGTATTGCCTTTAAAACTGTTTTTCTTGTTCAAATTTCCTTTTTTTTAGAAAAATTAATACCCGAACTAAAATTAAAAACAATACTTTTTTCAGACGGGATATAAAATTTACTAATTCAAGTTAAATTTTTTTTACAATGAAACTGTTACATTAAATTAAACGGATGTAAAAAAAAAAAAAAAAAAAAAAAAAAAAAAAAAAAAAAAAAAAAAAAAAACTTGTGCTTGAAAAGAAGCATTTTTTTCCTTTAAATACCTATCATTTCTTTTTCCCATAATTATCAT